AGGCAGAGGGAGAGAAACATCAGTGATGAGAGAGGATCACGGATCGGCCGCCTCCTATACGCCCCACACGGGGGATGGAGCCCGAAACCCGGGCCTGTGCCTGACCGGGAATCGAACCCTGACCTCCTGGGTCAAAGGCCAACGCTCAGCCGCCGGAGGCTGTTCCCACAGCACGTGAGCGGGAAGCCCACACGGGGTCTTAGGCTCCACGGGTTGAGACCCACAGGCTGAGAACGGCCAGCAGGGCCATGGGAAAACACAGACATTTACATTACCATCCAAACCGGAGCAAAACTACATTAGGAAGTAGCGACGAAAGTGGCGTTACGGCTGGGGGTCACCACAGCCTGAGGAAGGCGGAGAACCGCTGTCTAGTCTGATCCGTCTGTAGAGCCGTCTCTTCTGAACACGTTAAATCCGGGCAAACAGCCCCTTTGGCGTCTGGCTGGTGCGTGTGGGAGCGCGAGCTGGAATTCCACTCCCTCGGCGCCGATCCTCCAGAGGCGCCGCCGGGAGGCTGGGACCTCGGCACGGAGGACGCGGCTCGCCGGTCCCAGCCCACCCCTGCTCAGCCCCTCCCCCCCTTCGGAGCCCCTCGTTCGGGCGTCAGTGCCGCGGTTCTTGTCCCAGCCTTCAAAGGGTTCAGCGCCTGGAGAGGGGGCTGCACATTGATGATTAAGAAGGAGTCTGTGGCCAAAACCGGTGTGGCTCAGTGGATAGAGCGTCGGTCTGAGGACTTAAAGGTCCCAGGTTCGATTCCAGGCAAGGGCATGTATGTTGGTTGCGGGCCCATCCCTGGTGTGGGGTGTGCAGGAGGCAGCTGGTTGACGTTTCTCTCTCATCGATGTTTTTAGCTGTCTCTCTCCCTTCCTCTCTGTAAGAAATGAAGAAGGAATCTGTGGACAAAAGGTAGTTTTGAGAGGCATTGGGGGTCAGAGGAGCTTCAGCTGGAGGAGCTATTAGACTCTCCTTGTCTAAGGACCCCGTGCTATTTATTAACACAATTTGTCCCAAGGCAAGGTGGAAATACACACTTCAAAGGGTGAGGTATCGAAGGGTACAGGGATGGCCGGTTTGGGGAATAGCCCACAGCTGTTCTGTGTTTGGCTAAGAGGAGGCAATAAAGGCCTGGGCTGTCTGGCAGCAGACACCCCATCCAGGTTGGCAGACATGCTTTGTAGCCGTTCCAACAAGTGAGCTCCATGCGACTCCAACCTGTGACTCCCCGAGCTTCGCCCATGTCATCATTACCTGCTGGAAGTGGTTCCTGGCACCCACCCCCTGCCCGGCGTCCCCCGCTCCAGCGGGTCCGAGCCGGCAGGGGCAGGCGTGGCGGCCGAGGGGTGGCCACGGCGGACACACTAATCGAACAGTGGCTCACGTCCTGTGTGGGGCTTGTCCAGACCTCGGGGTGCTGACCTGCACGTACGAACATTCACGGCACAGAACACAGGGTCCGTGGGGGCCCACGGTCTGTGGCCTCTGCTCGCCCCGTCCCTCTGCTGGACCTGCCTCCCTCCCGCTCCCCCGTCCTTTGGGTCCGAATGCCACATCGCCTTCCCCAGGCCTGAGGCACCCCCACCACACCTGGGGCCCCATTCTCTTCTCTCCCCTTTTTATTGATTTCAGAGGGAGAGGGAGATGGACGCCCCCTACTGGGGATCTAGCCTGCAGCCCAGGCCTGTGCCCTGACACATGGACTCCTGACCTCCTGGTTCCTAGGTCAACGCTCAACCACCGAGCCAGGCCTCCCTGAACACCTGTCTGCAGGGAATGTGTGACCTCTGACCTTAGCCTAAAGGTCATCATGGTTGGGGCAGCGGGCATGCGGGTTCTGAAGGGCACGTGCCGGGGCCTCTGTCCCCGTTTCTCGTTTGTCCTGTACACACGGGGCCTGAGCCCGAAGGCACCGGACCCTGCAGTGTCACCTGGATGCCTGGCTGCCCAGAGAAGACTGGTTTCCCGCCTTCTCTGCAGCGAGTCAGGTCATGTGACAAAGCTCTGGCCAATGGACTGTGAGCATTTCCAGGCCGACTCTACAGAGTCCGTTGGGCGCAGTGTGGGCGGCTGCTGGGTGCAGTGGAGTGCAGTGCCCCTCCCCCGCTGGATGCAGTGTGTGGGGCCCACTGGGCATGGTGTCCCCCTCTCCCCCCGCTGGGTGCAGTGGGGCCCCCTCCTGCTGGGCGCAGTGGGGGCCGCTGGGTGCAGTGCCCCCCCTTGCTGGGTGCAGTGGGGCCCCCTCCTGCTGGGCGCAGTGGGGGCCGCTGGGTGCAGTGTCCCCCCCCCCCCCCCGCTGGGCGCAGTGGGGGGCGGAGCTGGAGCAGGGACTGTGCGCAGGGTCCGGGCGGAAGGACTTTCGGACATAGCTCGGGCGGAGACTCGGCTCCTGGCCGGACTGCGCGGCCGTGAGCGCCTCTCGGGCGGTGTGCCGTACCCACGCCTCCTGCCTCCTGGGCCGCTGCCGCCCGGGCCCTGGGACTAAGCGGCGGCCTGGTGCCTCTTTGATTGCAAAAGCCTCCCCGGCAGGGCCAGGGGTCCGGAGGCTAGGCCCCCCCTCACCTCCACCGCCCCCAGGCCCTGGGCTGCCCAGGCCTCCTCCCCCCACACACACACCTCCTGGCCTTTCTCTCCCCCGGGCCTTCCCCTCCCAGCCCAAGCCCTCCTCCCCCCCTCCCAGCCCCAGGCCTCCCCCCTCCCAGCCCCAGGCCTCCCCCCTCCCAGCCCCAGGCCTCCCCCCTCCCAGCCCCAGGCCTCCCCCCTCCCAGCCCCAGGCCTCCCCCCCCTCCCAGCCCCAGGCCTCCCCCCTCCCAGCCCCAGGCCTCCCCCCTCCCAGCCCCAGGCCTCCCCCCCCCAGCCCCAGGCCTCCCCGCTCCCAGCCCCAGGCCTCCCCCCTCCCAGCCCCAGGCACCTTAGCATCAGCAGGCTCACTCCCAAGGGCTTCTGGCCCTTCCGGTACCTCCATACCTTGTTTCCTAAGTCCATTTCTGAGTTACTTTCCTTCCTCTGTGATGTACCCCCCATCCCATCGGAAAAAGAGAAAAAGAAAACCATTTCTGACACCCCATCCCCTCCTCCTAGGCCCCAGGCCTCGGTCGGCCGAGCAGCTGTCCAGAGGGGGGCGCTGTCAGGGGGCTGTCTGGAGGGGGTGCTGCCAGGCCCTCCGGATGTTCCAGGTCCCCCTGACCCTCCGTGGCCTCTCCAGGGGACCAGGCAGCCTTGGGCCTGAGGATGGCCGCCCCTCAGTCACCTTCAGCCACTACAGCCTCGAGGACAGGGGGTGTCAAAGTGTGGGGCTCACAGGTCTCCGTCAGCAAACCGGTGTGACGTCTGCGATCGGACACACGCGCGCGTGCACACACACACACACACACACACACACAATGCACAGACCGCAGAGGACACGAACGCAGGGCCCTCACCAAGACCCAGACCCTGAGCTCCAGGAAGGACGGCGAAGGGATTGAGGAGCCCTGGCGGGCGGCTCCGCGGGCGGGGGGTCCTTGGCCCCCCCAAGGTTGCCGGCCTGATTCCCACGGGGCACAGGCCCGGGTTGCAGGCTCGGTCCCCAGTGCGGGGCGGGGGGAGGCTGCTGGCTGGTCCATGGTTCTCTCATCATGGATGTTTCTCTCTCTCCCTCTCCCTTCCTCTCTGACATCAGTAAAAAGAAAAAGAACCCGGAAAAGACACCACAGACCGGGAGAACGAAGGCCTTTCCCGCCACCTGGCGGCGTGGACTGGCATCCCGCAGACACCAGCACCGCACCGCTCAGTGATGGGAACCGGGACGGAGAGGGAACGGACCGACACTTTGCCAAGAAGGTGCACAGGCCGCCTCTGCGCCGGAAACCTGCCAGCGCCCCGGGCGGCTCAGGGCCGGGCGGGGCGCGGGCCTCGGGATGTGCGGCCAGGACCGGGCTCGGGCCCCCACCCCGCCAGGACGGACAGGCGGCGGCTGCGCGCAGACACCCCCGCACCAGGTCCGGCCGCTCCTCCTCCGGGCCCAGGCCCCTGGGGGCAGGGCGGAAGGAGCCCGGCCTGTGCCAAGGCCGGGAGGGCAGGCGGGACGCAAGCCCCGGGGTCCCTCCGCGGAGCCGGGGCGGGGCGGGCGGGGAGCCCCGGACCCGGCGGCCGCCGGTGCGCGCGCCCGGGCTGCGCGGGGCGGGCTGCGCGGGGCGGGGGGCGTTCCGTCCAGACCCGGAGAAGCGGGGAACGCAGCCGGGCGTCCACCGCCCTCCGCGCGGGTAGGCGCTGACCCCGACCGCACTCGGACCGCTCCCGGCCCCGGCCCCGCAGGCCCCGCCCTGCGCGCGGCCCGCCCGCCGCCTCCTCTCCCCGCCCCCGAGCATCCTCCCCCTCCGCTGGGAGCCGCGGCCGGGCCTGGGCGCCCTCCTCCCCGACCGACCGGGCGCGCCGCGGGGGCGAGGGCACTGCCACCCACGGCCCCGTCCCCCTCCATCTCCCCAGGCCCCTGAGCACCCCCTCCCCGCCGTCCCACCCTCCCCACTCCCTCCCGCCCGCCTCTCCGTCCCCATCCCCCCTCCCCCCCCCCCCCCGAGCACCCCCTCCCCGCCGTCCCACCCTCCCCACTCCCTCCCGCCCACCTCTCCGTCCCCCTCCCCCCTCCCCCCCCAGCACCCCCTCCCCGCCGTCCTACCCTCCCCCCTCCCTCCCTCCTAACCTCCCCACTCCCTCCTCACTCCCTCCCGCCCCGCCTCTCGGTCCCCACCCCCTCCCAGAGCCCCCTCCCCCGCGTTCCTGCTCCCTCCATCTCCCCGCCCCTGAGCACCCCTCCCCGCCCTCCTACCCTCCCCACTCCTCCCCACTCCTTCCCCTCCCCGCCATCCTACCCTCCTCACTCCCTCCCCGCCCCGCCCTCCTACCCTCCCCACTCCCTCCCGCCCGCCTCCCCATCCCCCCCCCCCCCCCCGCGCCCCGGAGCACCCCTCCCGCCCCGGAGCACCCCTCCCGCCCCGGAGCACCCTCCCGCCCCGGAGCACCCCTCCCGCCCCGGGCTCAGGGGGAGCGCGCTCACGAGGACGCGGCGGCGGGAGCGACCGTTGGGAGCGGCCCGCGGCGGGGGAGCCGCGCTCCGGCCACCATGCGGCGGCTGCGGCGCCTGGCGCACCGGCTGCTCGTCCGGCCCTTCTCCCCGGGCCCGCAGGTGGGTGCGGGGCGGAGGGTGCGGGCGGGGGGTGCGGGCGGGGGGTGCGGGCGGGGGGTGCGGGCGGGGGGTGCGGGGCGGAGGGTGCGGGCGGGCGGTGCGGGGCGGAGGGTGCGGGCGGGGGGTGCGGGGCGGAGGGAGTGGGCGGGGGATGCGGGGCGGGGGGTGCGGGGCGGAGGGTGCGGGCGGGGGGTGCGGGGCGGAGGGTGCGGGCGGGGGTGCGGGCGGGGGGTGCGGGCGGGGGGTGCGGGGCGGAGGGTGCGGGCGGGGGGGTGTGGGGCGGAGAGAGTGGGCGCAGGGGGTGTGGGGCGGAAGCCGGTGCATGAGGTCCAGCCCGGGAGGGGGGCGGGGGCCGGGCTCAGGCCGCGGGGTGATGTCTGCGGGAGGCCGGGCCCTGGGCGGGGGGAGGGGATGGGGGCGCCACGGTGCACCCGCTCCTGCGCTGGCGAGGCCCATCCTGGGGCTGCAGGACCTGCGCCCCGAGGCCCAGACACCACCCCAGCCGCTCTGTCCTCCACCTGGAGACCGGCCTGCTCTGCAGCGGACACTCGGGCACAGAAACGCCCCCAGATGGGCCTCCCCCCTCCCCAGGCACCCCAGCCTGGATTCCGGTGTGCCTGACCCCGGGCTGACCTTGGCCAGGCCCTGTCCTCCCAGAGCCTCCGTCTGCGTCTGCCGGGGAGGCAGGCTGCCTGGGCGCAGCTGGGTGTGGAGGGGCTGTCACCTCTGCAGGGGTCCGAGCCAGGCCTCCCGGGGGCGCCGAGGCCATGCCCGCAGGCCAGCCCTGGCCCAGCCTCGGGGCCCAGCGGGAGGCCCAGGCCCGTGTCCCTAGCTGCTCCATGTCCCCCGCGCCCCCCCCTGCTCTGGCCCAGCTCTGCTGGAAGGGCGGCCAGGCCCTGCAGAGCAGGTGGGGCACAGCGGCTAGAGGGGGAGGGACCCAGGGGGGGTCCCCCTGGTCTGCACCCGGCTCCGCCCGCCTCAGTGCCAGGGACACCCTCCACGCCTCTGGGTTCTGCCAGGGAAACCCCTCGCGGGCGGTGCGTGTGGGCAGCCCCCTGCGGGCAGCCCTGGTGCTGGCCTGTCCCCTGAGCACCCTCTCCCCTCCCCCTTTCCCATGGCTGCGCACAGGAGTGAGGCCGGCCCACCGGGCTGCCTGGGGTCGGCAGGAGGGTGGGGCGGGGCTGCCCCTGGAGGAAGCCCATGGAGACCAGGACCTGGGTTGGGTCCTAGTTGGCCAGAGGGGTCAGTGCACTGGGTGACCGGCACCTGGAGGGCAGGGTGGGGAGGGCTGTGCGGGGCCCTGTGACACCTGCCCCCCCCAATCGGGGGTCCAGGCTGTCCTGCGCCCCAGGACCCCGATGCTGAGAGCCCCAGCCCCTCCCAGTGGGAAGTACCCAGCGGCCACTGCCACCCAGCTGCCCCCCCTGCTTTCCTGTTTTTTCTCGTGAACAAATCAGACGGAAACAGGCGCAGGGGCAGGGGCCAGCGGCCGAGGCCCAGCCTCCTCACCCGCTCCAGGCCCCTCTTATCCCCCCTGCTGCTCCTCAGTGGCCGCCAAGGCGCCCAGGCTCCCCCCGGAGCCAGCAAGGCCCTCCTGCTGCGGCCCTCCAGGGGCTGCCGGGATGGAGGCCGCCGTGCGGGGGGAGGCAGCCAGGACCTGCCTCTCCAGGAAGAGCCAGAGACTCAGTTGTCTTGGTGGGAGCTGGTGCCCCCACGTCCCTGGGTAGCCCCACCCCCAGCTGACCAGGACTGACCAGGACCCGGGACCGACCAGGACCCAGGACTGACCAGGACCAGGACCCAGGACTCAGGACTGACCAAGACCCAGGACTGACCAGGACCAGGACGGACCAGGACTGACCAGGACCAGGACCCAGGACTCAGGACTGACCAAGACCCAGGACTGACCAGGACCAGGACTGACCAGGACCAGGACTGAAGCTGCTGCCCAGCTGCAGGGTTGGGGGCGTGGCCAGTGCTGGCAGTGGTGCCCCCTCCGAGGACAGGCTGGCCTATCAGATGATGCTTCTCTCTCATGTTCTTCTATCTCTATCCTTCTCTGAAAATCAATGGAAACATATTTAAAAAAGAAAGAAAGAAAGAAAGAAAGAAAGAAAGAAAGAAAGAAAGATAGATCATCAGTAGGCTGCCCTGCACGCCCCCTACTGGGGATCAAGCCCACAACCCAGGCCATGCCCCATCAGGAATCAAACTGGTGACCTGGTTCACGGGTCAACGCTCAGCCACGGAGCCACACGGAGCCACACGGAGCCACAGGGCCGCTGTGCCCACTTCCCTCACGGAGCATCGGGACTGCGCGGTCCGGCTGCATGTGGCAGCTCAGGGTCCCCTCGGTTCTAAGGCGGGCGATGCCCCCGCCTGGAGAGGCCCCCTTGAGTCTGCCCAGTCTCCGGTCTCCGGTCTCCGGTCAGGGGCACTGGTTGTGCCCATTTGGCTGCTGGGAATGCGCTGCTGAGAGAGGGCGTGTGAGGCCGTCTCCACGGCTCAGGGCCCACTGTGAGGCCAGGCCCTGCCCTCTGCCCCAGCGCCTCCGAGGCCCGGGCTCCTGCTGGCCCGGCCCCACGGGAACTGCCCCGTTGGAGGGCATCGTGCCCGCCTGGCAATCTCCAGCCCGCCCCTCGGAGGTGACTAGGCAATGAGGGCACGACAGAGGGAAATGTGGAAAAAGTCTTTACTCGGGGAAAACAAAGATCTGACTCCGTGTCCCCCATTCTGAAACTGACTCCTTTCCCGCCCGGGTATTTATGTAAACGTTTTTATTGGCTGAACATCGACCTGTGAACCAGGAGGTTACAGTTCGATTCCGGGTCGGGGCACAGGCCCGGGGTGCAGGCTTGATTCCCATTAGGGGGCGCGCAGGAGGCAGTCTGTCCGTGCTTCTTATCATCAGTGTTTCCATCTGTCCCTCTCCCTTCCTGCCTTCTGCACACCCCCTCCCCGGGATCAAGCCCGCACCCCAGCCCTGTGCCCTGACTGGGAACCGAACCGTGACCTTCAGGTTCACAGGTCGACGTTCAGCCACTGAGCCATGCTGGCTGGGCTGCCCACGTAGTTACAGTAAAAGTCTGGGCGCCTGCCCCACCTCCAGGTGGGTGAAGTGGGGTGTGCAGATGGGGGGACCCCTGAGCGTGCCTGGGCCGCCCGTTTTCCAGACTGGAGCAGGGCAGGCCCGGGCTGGGGTCCGTGAGGGGGTGACGCCCCCAAATGTGGCGCTTCCTCCCGTGTCTCTCCCACAGCAGGGCCGGCTCCCAGGCCACAGGGTCAAGTTCGTCTTGCTGGTGTGGCTGGGCGTCTTTGCGGGCAGCTGGCTGGCCTACGTGAACTACACGTCCTACACGGAGCTCTGCCGCGGGCACGTGTGCCAGGCGGTCATCGTAAGTGTCCCCGTGGCCTGGGCGAGGCCCTGAGGGGGCCTGGGGGGGACCCTCTGGCTGCAGAGGAGGGGTGGGTGGCTGGAGGAGGGCGGGGCTGGGGAGGCCCGGCAGGCTCCCCGGAGAGCTCGCCAGTGCCCGGGATGGACGGGCAGGCGGGCGGGCGGGCTCCAGAGGTTGGGGGGAGGGTGGAGCGGGCAGATGTTGGTGACCGTGAGGGCCCAGCCGAGGTCTCAGAGGCTCCACAGCTTGTCGAGGCCAGGCCTGGAGGGCGGCCCGGGCTCAGGGATGGGCCCAGACTGCAGGCTGAATGGGCCTGGAGGACGCCCCGCCCGCTGCAGCCTCGTGGCCGCCCCCGCCCCGGGGGTGACCCCGCCCACGGTCCCGGGTTCGACGCACGGCAGACCCCTTGGGGTGGGGCCTCCCTCCGGGGGGGATGGAGGGTGCAGTTTTGGGTTCCCTCCCCAGCCAGGGCTGCCACAGCCAACGCCTTCCTCACGTAACGCCCAGGCCTGGCTCTGTCCCGTCCTCCCTCCTCCCTGCTGCCTGGCACTGTGCTCCCTGCCTCTGCCTCCTCCGGGCCTGGGCTCCATGGCAACCGAGTGCACCTCAGCATCCACTCCGGGATCTCGCTGCAGAGGGAGAGGTGCCCGGCTCCGGCTCTCTCACCTCCCGCCCCGTCCGGCCCAGGGCCCCGGTGGATCGAGGCTGGGAGCGCCCCCCGTGGCCCTGGCTCAGGCGTGGGGGCTTGGAGGGGTGCAGGGCGCAGACAGTCCACAGAGGCGCTGGGGGAGCCTGCCGCCTCCAGAGGGCGAGGCAGCCCGACCACGTCCCCCAGCTGGCACGTGCCCGCGGCTGTGGGCTCTGACTGGGCGCCTGGGCAGCGTGAGGGTGCGGAGCCCGGGGAAGCCAGCGCCCCGGGACGAGGGATGGTGGCAGGGACAGATGCCAGTTCTGAGGGCGCAGTGGCGGGAGGCTCCCGGCTCCAGACGGCAGCATCGGGCCTCTGAGGAGTGTGGCCCAGGAGGGGGCCACCGCCCAGGGGCACAGCGTGTAAGGCGGGGGGGACTCAGGGTAGCAGGGCTGGAGCCCCCGAGCCCCGCCTCCCAGCCACTTCCGGCGTGTCCTCCTCCCAGTGTGACCAGTACCACAAGGGCATCATCTCGGGCTCCCTGTGCCAGGACCTGTGCCAGCTGCACAAGGTGGAGTGGAGGGCCTGCCTGTCCTCCGTGCCCAGCCAGCAGGTGAGCCCAGGGCATCGGGGGCCTGGCTCAGGGCCTGGGTGCCGCGGGAGAGGGACTTCCACACGGGACCCTGTGCCCGTCCAGGTGTACAGCGGGCTCTGGCAGGGCAAGGAGGTGACCATCAAGTGCAACATCGAGGAGAGCTGGAGTGCAAAGGCCGGGCCGGAGGCGCCAACCCGGCGGGAGCTGGTGCTGTTCGACAGGCCCGTCCGGGGCACCTCCATCCAGGAGTTCCGGGAGATGACCCTCAGCTTCCTCAAGGTCAGCGGCTCTCGTGGGGGCGTGTGCACAGACCTGGGGGTCAGGCTTCTGGCTGGGCCCAGCTTCCAGTGTCAGGATCGCCCACGAGGCCGGGAGCACCCTGCTCCCGGGGTGTCAGCAGGGAGAGCTGGGTGAGCACGGGAGGTGGGGTCAGAGCTGGCGAGAAGCGAGCCCTGGTGGAGACACGGGGACCCCGTCCTCGGGGGAGCAGCTCCTGAGAGATGCTGGTGGGCGGGCAGTCCGGGTGGGCTTCCAGGAGGAGGCAGTCGGAGGCTGGGCTCCTCTAGGCTGTTGGATGTGCTGGGTCCCGGGTGCAGCCCACCCAGCCAGCCAGCCCGCGGGCACCTGAGGGCCCGGCACTCACCGAGGCTGGTGTCCTGCGGCCTCAGCCACGCCCTGGCTCTGAACCGCCGCCCCCCCTGGTCTGGCCCCGCCCTCAGGCGAACCTGGGAGACCTGCCCTCGCTGCCGGCGCTGGTGGGGCAGGTGCTGGCCCTGGCGGACGTCAACAAGGACGGCCGCGTGTCGCTGGCCGAGGCCAAGGCCGCGTGGGCCCTGCTGCAGGGCAACGAGTTCCTGCTGCTGCTGTCGCTGCGGGACAAGGAGCATGCCGCGCGGCTGCTGGGCTTCTGCGGCGACCTGTACGTCACCGAGGGCGCGCCGCCCGGCTCCTGGCAGGGCGCGGCGCCCCTGCTGCGCCCGCTGCTGCCGCCCGCCCTGCACCGCGCCCTGCAGCAGTGGCTGGGCCCGCCGTGGCCGTGGCGCGCCAAGGTGGCCATCGGCCTGCTGGAGTTCGTGGAGGAGCTCTTCCACGGCGCCTACGGCACCTTCTACATGTGCGAGACCACGCTGGCCAACGTGGGCTACACGGCCACCCACGACTTCCGCATGGCCGACCTGCGGCAGGTGGCGCCCGCGGCCGCCGTGCGCCGCTTCCTGCGTGGCCGCCGCTGCGCGCACAGCGCCGACTGCACCTACGGGCGCGACTGCCGGGCGCCCTGCGACCAGCTGCTGCGCCAGTGCAAGGGCGACCTCCTGCAGCCCAACCTGGCCAAGGTGTGCGAGCTGCTGCGGGACTACCTGCTGCCCGGCGCCCCCGGCGAGCTGCGCACCGAGCTGGGCCGCCAGCTCAGCACCTGCGCCACGCTCAGCGGGCTGGCCAGCCAGGTGGAGGCCCACCACTCGCTGGTGCTGAGCCACCTCAAGACGCTGCTGTGGACCACCATCTCCAACACCAAGTACTCCTGACCCCGCCCCTGCCCGCCCCCGAGCCGGCTCCAGCCGGACTGCGGGCGGGGCGTCCTCCCCCAGGGCTGCAGCCGCCCTGGCCAAGCCGCCGCCTCCTCTCCTGTCACCAGACAAAGGCACGGCTGCAGGGGCGACTCCCCCTCCTGTCACAGGACAAAGGTGCGGCCCAGCGGCCCCTTCACTGTCCCTCCTTCCCCAGCTCCAGCCCCCCAGGCGGAAGGGCTGTTCAGCAGGAGGGGCTGGAAGGGGTGAGGCGGGAAGAGGACGCGCCCTGGCGGAGTTGGGTTTTGTTACTTTGATCACCTGATGTAAATAAATTGGTTTTCTGTGAGTGCTCCTTCCCTGGCTGCCCTGGTCCCTCCCCAGGCCCCTGCCATCCAGACCACCCCTGGCAGCCTGGGCCTGCCCCCGCCTCCTGCACGGAACAGTCCGGTTCAAGGTCTGTCTGGCCCACTTTTTTATATTTTATTTTTTTACAGAGGAAGAGAGGGAGAGCTAGAAACATCGATGAATCATTGATCAGCTGCCTCTTGCATGCGCCCCACCGGGGATGTGCCCGCAACCAAGGTACATGCCCTTGACCAGAACTGAACCTGGGACCCTTCAGTCTGCAGGCCGTCGCTCTTATCCACTGAGCCAAACCGGTTTGGGTTGGTCCCACTCTTAAGAGCCAGCCCTGGGGAATTACCTGGGACGAGGGGGCGATGGGATGCTGGAGGGAAACTTCCTGGTCATCTCTGCCCCCACCTGGATGGGAGGGGGCGGGCCCCCCTAACACGTGTTGCTAGTGCTAACCCTCCCTCTCCCCAGAGGCCGTGTTTATTCCACGTGGATCCCTGTTGGAATGGAGTCCACCGTGTAGGACTGGGCTCAGGGCTGTTAAAGAGGTTCCGCCACTTAGATGTGAATTTTTAAAAGTATTATTTCAGAAATAGAAATGTCAATGAGAATCATTGGTGTCCCATCCCCCCCCCCCCCACACACAAACGGGATCAAACCTGCAACCTGACTGGGAACCTAACTGTCGCCTCCAGGACCACAGATTGACATCAACCACTGAGCCACGCTGGCCAGGCTAGATGTGCATTTCCATCAATAGACTATTGGAAATTTTGATTTTCCAATTTTTAAAAAATATATTTTGATTTTTTTACAGAGAGGGAGAGGGACAGAGCCAGAAACATCAATGAGAAACATCAACCAGCTGCCTCCTGCATGACCCCAACGGGGATGTGCCTGCAGCCAAGGTATATGCCCGACCGGAATCAAACGTGGGACCGGACAAGGTCAGGCCAGGAAGAGGCACAGGACTGGGCAGGAGACGCCCAGTGGGCTGTGCAGACTAGAACCTTCTTGGGGCAGCCCCAGCAATGCTGTGGTGCCTTCAGTCCGGGAGGACCTGGCCTGAGGGTCAGACTGCAGTGCCCTGGCCACCCAGAACCTGTGAGTGGAGAGTGGTATGGCAGCCGACTGGCCTCTCTGGACCCACAAGGCACAGGGCACGGAGGGGGGAGTGGCCAGGCTTCTCTGTGAAGCCCAGCTGCCCTCCAGGACCCACCACCCGAGGGAACCCGCCTCGCCAGCAAGCTTGTCTGGGGCTGCTTGGCTGTCCCCGCCACCCCAACCGGCAGCCTGTCCTTCCACAGGCACGGTGACACCTCACTGAAACTGGCCAGAGACCCTCACACAGGGCGGCTCAAACACGGGACGTCCCCCAAAGCGAGAGAACCATCACCCCCAGGCTCCTCCGCTCAGTGGACCATCCCTGTGAACAGGCGTGTTTCCTTTATTGGAGGTGGAGTCACCCAGCACAGCGCCACCTTCGCCAAGACAGTGCCAACAGCAGCCCTTGCCACCTTTCAACGGGCATGGGGGCCTCCGGGCCCCTGGGCCCGCGCCGCCTCTGGGCCTCTCGCTGCGCAGACGCCACGGGCAGCAGCACAGGTGCCCCCGCCGTGCGGCGAGCCGGGCCGTCTGTGCCGCGGGCCCCGCACCCCGGACCCGAGGCCGGGGGCCGGGTAGGGCCAGCAGCAGCCCCGTCTGTAAAGAAAACCAGATTGAGGACCCGCAGCAAGCCCCGTGGTGGGCCACCCCCCGCCCTCTGTGGCAGCAGCAACGTTCAGGGGGTCTTATCAAATGCCCCTCCCGCACCTGGACCGAGGGCCACCGGGCCAGGACCACACTTCCTGCCCCTCCCAGGAGCACCGCGTGCTGCGGCAGGCGGCCAGGCATTGTGAGGACTCGGCCTCCTGCTGGTGGCCAGAGCCTGCACCTTGGAAATCCCGGCCAGGCCACTCCTCCCCACAGCGACGGTTGGAACGGCGGGCGAGTCCTCGCTCTCGGGAAGGACGGGGCTCCTGGGCAGTCTGTCCCCGCCGGCAGGAACCGACCGCCCTGGGGGCAGGCGAGCAAGGACCGGGACAGTGATGGCCTCGCCAGCAACGGGATCTCAGCCTCCAGAGGTCAAGGGGCCCTCACTCCAGCCCCCAAACCCCTCCCCCCACAGGGCCACCACCCTTGTGCCCCCCGCAGACGTGCGCTGCGTGGAGGGCCACACAGTCACCCCCGCAGGGAACACTGTGGGACGGAGGTAAAGTCTCACCAGACTGGAACGGGGGGTCCTCGCCGTGAGCAAGTGGCTCCATCTTGTCCGGCTGCCGCCGCACCGAGCTCCCAACTGCAGAGGGACCAGGACAGGGGTTACCCAGCCCCCTCCCCGGCGCCCTGGCTGGGACGAGGGGGTCCACGTGGGGCCTGATGCTGGGAGCAGACCTCTGGCACCCCCAGCCCGCCCTCGCCCCCTCCCCCTAGAGCACTCTGCTGGTCTCGGTCTCCAGTGGGTGCTCACCTGCCAGGTGGCTGACCACCCACCCAGAGCCAGGGAGGGCCCAGCCCCACGAACCTCCGGAGCCCGGTGCCCATCAGTTCCACTCCCACCCACCTGCCCGCCCTGTCTGAGGCGGAGCTGAGGGGCCCGCCCGCATGTCAGGCTACAAACCATTCCCAGCGCCCACTGCTCGGGGCGCTGAGCGTAGGAATAGCCGCTTCCTCTGCGCCCTGGCCTGTCAGACGTGCGGCATGGCAGCCGGGCTGTGGTGCCGGCAGGTCCTGCACCCGCAGGGCAGCCCCCCCTTCCCACCCCCGACGGCACCCGCAGTGTCTGCAGAGCACGGGGAGCCCTCCTTTCAGATGACCGCACCCCCAGTGAGCCCCCCACCGGAGGGGAGGTCTCTGCACAGGAAGCGGGTCCTCGGGGACCCCAGGCCTCCGTCGCTGGAGGCTCCCTGGCCTGTGGCTCCGTCTCCAACCTCTAGCGGGATTGCCGGGCATCGGGCGCACGGCCCCGGCTTTGCTTTAAGAGGCAGCAGCTGCGCACTCGGCCCCTAAGACAGAACCAGCGGGTCGCGGGGGCGCCCCCAAAGGATGTCTGCTGCCTCCTCACCCACTCACCTTCCCGCCTGGGTCCTGCGCCGGCTCCTGCCTCCCGCACGCCCCGGACCTGGGGGACGGAGGAGCCGTTAGTTACCGGACCGGTGCCCCCCCCACCCCCCAGCGGCGGGAGCAGCGCCCAGTGTCAGGCCGACAGCCACCCAGGGGCCCACGGCAGGGCGCTGGGCGTAGGCAGCCCCGTGCTCTCTGCCCCCCTGGCGCCGGCGGGCACGGCAGGCCGCCCGCCCCGCACATCAGGATGGCGGCGCCCAGCCCCCGGCAGGCGGGCTCCCGGGGGGCGGGGGGTCCCGCGCAGGAGGGGATGGGAGGCGGGGGCGGCGGGGGGAGACGGGGGGCAGCACTGACCCGGGCCCCGGCCCCTTCCCGCCCCGCCTCCTCCCCACGGCGCGCCCCCCGGAGGCTCCGAACCCGCGGGCGCCTCGGCGGCGGGTGCAGCCGGAGCCTCGGACCCCGGGGCCGCGCGCACCCGCCACGACCTCACCTCCGCGCCGCTCCCGCCGCCGGAAAGACCGCGAGACCGCGAGCCGCGCCCTTTATAGCGCAGACGGCGGCCCGCGAGGCCCAAGCCCTCCCGCCCGTCCCCGCCGCCGCCGCAGCGCCCCCTGGCGGGCCCTCCCGTCCCCGCCCCGCGGGCCGGGACTCCCTCCCTCCAGCCTGGGATTGGGTTCGGGTAGTTGAGGTTGCAGGGCTCCAGAGGGTAAGACCTGCAAAATAGGGTTCCGGGGACCCTGCCTCCCCTGCACCCAGACCTGCCTCCCGGGCACCCAGGCCTGCCTCCCGGGCACCCAGACCTGCCTCCCCTGCACCGTGGCCTGCCTCCTGGGCACCCAGACCTGCCTCCCCTGCACCGTGGCCTGCCTCCCGGGCCCCCAGGCCTGCCTCCCGGGCCCCCAGGCCTGCCTCCTGGGCCCACATACCTGCCTCCACTGCACCCAGGCCTGCCTCCTGGGCACCCAGGCCTGCCTCCCCTGCACCGTGGCCTGCCTCCCGGGCCCCCAGGCCTGTCTCCCGGGCCCCCAGACCTGCCTCCTGGGCCGGCCATTTGGGCTGAAGTCTGGGCAGCACATTGGCCACCTGGCCTTGGGCAGGGGGTGCCCTCCCTGGGGAACTGCAGTGCAGAGAGACGGAAGAGGCCTGACTTGGAGGTGTTAACATAAAAAACAACAACATTGAAACCTGTGAAGAAATTTTGTGAGTTTATTTGAGCCAAACTGTCGATGTAAGCCAGGAAACAGAACCTCAATGAACTGAGATGATGCTCCGGAGAATGGCGGGTTACATTTGTATTTAGACATCGTAATCAAAGGAGGGACATAGGTGGATGACATGAAATTCATTGGTGATGGAGTGAGGAGGCGGGAGAAAGCGAAGCGGTGGGAATCCTCTGGGATTGGATAAAAAGTAAAATGATGGAAGCATACTTAGGTGAGAGGAAGAACAATTAACATGATAAGGAGGGAATCTGAGGCATCTGCCCTGTGGCCCTCCACATCTGGTGGTGCCCCAGGGGCTCCGGAAAAAGGGAAGTTAGAATTTACCCAGACTTCTCACCGGTATGTTATCTTAGAGGTGGACTGACAGGCTTGGTAAAGATCTAAGTTGATCTTTGTCAGGGAAAATATTGGCCTGGGACTATGACTGCTCACCATAACCTGTTTGTAGTTAAATATTTAATTTTTGGACAATTCTTTGCAGTCTTTTCGGACCAGACTTTCGGTCTCTGAGTTCCCAAGGCCGCCACGCAGGCCCCTGAGCTGGTCAGGTCAGCACGTGGCTCCTTCCGTCCACAGAGGGGGCGCTCGGGCTGGCTGGGTTGGGGGAAGGACTCCCCTTCCTTCCCTCTCACCGGCCTGGGAGGGGGGTCCCAGTGAGAGGGACCATTGGGAAGCTGCAGATCTAATTCTCCAACATGGAGAAGTTTCTAGAACTCTGCAGAGGACCTGGGGCCCTCCCAGGACTGGCCCAGGCCGCAGGGATCCATGCTGCATGCTCTTGTCCTGTCCCCACCCGCTCCAGGCTCCCAGACTGGCCACACTGGTGACTTGGGTGCTGGTGGCCGGGTGGGTGGGAGCCTGGGGCTCCTTGTCCTGCTGGACCAGGGGAGCACGGACAGTGGCGGGACACCCCCTTTTTGAGCAGTTCCTGGGCAGCAGGGCCGTGTCCCCTGGCCCGTCACTCCCAAGAGCTCAGTGAGGTGGCTCCAGCCTGTGGGAGCCCCTGGGAGTGCTTGCCCGCTGAGGGTGCCCAGCATGGCACAGGGCCCAGCAGCATGGGAAGGACCAGGCCCAGCAGCTAGGGAGGGCGGGAGGGGCACCTGGGAGCTGGGGTTCCGGCCGTTCCTATGGGCTTCACCGCACCTTTGACCTTTGCTAATATTGCCCAGTGAACGCGCTGATCACGGCCAGCTGCCTGCGTGACCTCATGAGCAATACGCGTGTAGCTTCCTCACCACGGAGGGCCTCGTACGAAAACCAGCCGCGCCAGGACGTGGAGGGGGAAGGAAGGAGCGCGCTGGCGGGGACACGCGGGGTCTGAGGTTCAGGACCTCGGTGTGGGCGTCGGGCCTCTGACTGCTCCTCCCTCTTCCCCGGGGAGCAGTCAAGGCCACGATCTCCCTGAGGACGTCAGGATTGGGGGCTCCTGCCCCAAACGAACGCTCCTGCGCAGCGCCCCCAGGCGGCAGGAACACCCGTGTCTGGGTCCCGGGACCTCAGCCGCGAGGAGAGGACAGTCACTGACATGGGGCCGGCCCTGCCTCTGAGTCTGTGTGTCTGGGCTCGGGGTCTTGGAGTCCCTCCAGGTTCTGGGGGGAGAGGACTAGGGAGGCTGGCGAAGCAGGTCCCCCAGGCTCTCAGCGTCTCTCATTCCAAAGCAGCCCCCACAGGAGGGTGGAGACCTGGCCGAGACGGGCCCGCCACCCCGCACCCGCTGCCCTGCCTCAGTTTCCCAACCGTCCCCCGAGGGCTGCATGTGGAAGAGCCTCAGCCAGCTCAGCGTGGACACGGGCAGGGTGTGAGCGCGGCCACAGCTTTGGGACGGGTTCGAGCCTCGGGCTGATGAGCGCACAGTCCTCCCAGCCACGTGCAAGGCCCAGCGTGGAGGGCGGAGCTCCCAGCACCGTGGTGGCCAGCAGCTGTGGTTGTGAGCGTGAGCCTGTGGTCTGAACACGTGGCCCCGCTGCCTGAGCGAGAGGCCGCGGGTGAACAGCTGGGTCAGCTGGTGCAGAGGCGTGAAACCCAGAGAAGCTGTGACACCTGACCCGCCCCCACTGCCGCGTGGCAGTGGCTGTGAAATAAAGACAGGGCTTGAGGTCCGTGGTGCTGGCTCTCCCCGAGAGGGCAGTGTCCCACTGAGACCCAGCTTCATTCTCCTCTGTCTTCCCGATTCGTCACCGCCCCCCAGGGCCCCCAAACCTGGCTGGTTGGCAGCACATAGGCACGGGGGCCAGCTCCCCACAGCGGGGCACCCACACGGGGGTGGGGTGGGCTGCATGAACCCCTCTTGGGGACACGGGGGGACCCAGGCGGCTCCCACGGGAGACAATTGGGCGTGGCCAGCAGTTGGGGGCCCATGTGACCCCCCTTCAATGTGCACATGCGCCTTCCCAATGACAACACAGCTACGGCGCCCCCAACAGGCTGGTCCGTGTCCCGGTCCAGGCCATGTGCTCTGTACCCCCTCATCCATGGGGGCGTTTGGAGGGCCCTGGATCCCGGGGCCTCGTCCTGTGCGCCATGGGGTGGAGGACGGTGTGGGGTGACCGTGTCCCCGGAGCTCCCTGGGCATCGCAGTCCGCATGTGTGAAGGCGTGTCCGTGTCTCCACGTGGCCAGGGCTGGAGTGACTGACCTCGGAGCCCGAGGAGCCACCTCCTTCCCGCGAGCTGGCTCCGTGGGGGCGTCTCTGTGCCTGGGCCTTTGTCTCGGCGCCCGGCCTGATGCATCCGGGACCAGGCGCCGCTGGGAGACCTGCTGGATCCGTGACCTCCCCGCGGACAGGGACCCTGTGGCGAGCGGCTGAGGTGAGAGCTGACCCAGGTCCCATAGGAGCCCCGTGCTGCCACCACTGGCACCCCTGGAGACGCCCACCCGTGTCCCCTGTGATGACTGGTGGCGTGTGCACACGTCCCCTCTGTGATGACTGGTGGCGTGTGCACACGTCCCCTCTGTGATGACTGGTGGTGTGTGCACACGTGTCCCCTCTGTGGTGATGGGCTGGTCGGGGGGCACACACCTGTGTCCTCTCTGCGGTGATGGTCTGGGCAGGGGCACACAACCTGTCCCCCCTCTGCGGTGATGGCCGGTTGGGGTGCACACCTGTGTTCCCTCTGTGGTGATGGGCTGGTTGGGAGCACACACCTGTGTCCCCTCTGTGATGACTGGTGGTGTGTGCACGTGTCCCCTCTGCGGTGATGGGCTGGTTGGGGGCACACACGTGTCCCCTCTGTGGTGATGGGCTGGTTGGGGGCACACACGTGTCCCCTCTGTGGTGATGGGCTGGTTGGGTGCACACACCTGCGTCCCCTCTGCAGTGATGACTGGTGGCGTGTGCACGTGTCCCCCCTGCTGTGATGGCCTGGTTGTCACACCTGTAGTTCGTTTTATGCACCATCCAGCCCCAGGGACACGTGGGCTCCGAGGGAGCCTTCTGCCTTGGGCTGGGAGGGGCAGGGCTGGTGCAGGAGGCACCCACTGCCGTCTGTCTCTCTCTCCCCCCCTCTCTAGAGACCAATGGGAAATGCACTCGTGAGGAGGAACTAAAGACTAAACGTTACCTACCGTGTGGTTGGAAGCTGTGAGGATTAGGTGACTGTGGCATGTTTTGTGCAAAGAGGTAAAGAGGTCGGCAAACTTATTGGTCAACAGCGGCTTGAGAAGTGCATGTGGCTTGCAAGCCACGGTGTGCCAACCACTGAACTAAAGGAACAAAAAGCCGAATGGGAAAACCCCATGCGGAAAGGCTGAGCCCTTCCTTCTGGCCGAGGGTCACTCGTGGGGCAGGGGGCACTTTTCGCTGAGCGTGTCACTGTGACCAGCCGTGCTGGACAGAGGAGGGGGTTTCTGATTAGAAAGGGCCCAGAATGACAAGCAGGAGAAGCTCCCAGCGCTCCTCCTGGGCCTCAGTCACCTGCCGGGGAAGTGGGGCTGGGACCCGGACGGGGAGGGGGAGAGGGCGTGAGTGCAGCGCTGCCTGCAGGCACACATGCTCCTCCAGCTGTGGCGGCGGTGCCCGCATTTCCCCCTTAGCTGGGCAATGTGGGGGCCGATCATGGAGCAGAGCCCCCCCCCCCAGCCGAGTCCCTGCGTGCCCACTGCCTCCTGCAGCTCCTCCTGGTCCCCATGGCGCCCTGTCCCCTCGTACACTTCCCAGGTCTTGGGAGAACGTCTGCACTGGGGAGGCCTGGCTGATGGAACAGCCCGGCCGGGGCCGCTGGGATCCGGAAACACACTGCCCGTGGGAACCTCACACCAAGGACACACCTCCGGCGGAAGCCATTCCGGGACAAGCGTGCTGCCCGCGGGGCCCTGCTGGCCTCTGTGCGCCTGCGGGCCCGCCAGGAGGGGAACACTCGGACTCCGGACCAACCAGGCTCGGCGGCTTTATTCAGGAGGGGGGACCGGTCACAGCGGAGGGCTCGCGTCCAGCAAGGCCCGTGTTCCCGGGAGAGGGGTCCCCGGGGCCCTCCCGGCCCTGCAGCCGGTACAGGGCCTCCACCTGCCGGCGCTTGTCCTTGGCGCGGCGGACCGCGGTGCGGAAGAGCCGGCAGAAGAGCTGGACGGCGGGCGGCGAGTCGTCGTTGCCGGGCACGGGGTAGGTGAGCAGGCAGGGGTTGCAGTTGGTGTCCACGACGCCCACGGTGGGGATGTTCATCTTGGCGGCGTCGCGCACGGCCACGTGCGGCTCGAACACGTTGTTGAGCGTGTGCAGGAAGACCACGAGGTCGGGCAGGCGTGCGCCGGGGCCCAGCAGCAGTGGTGCGTTGGTCAGCAGGCCGCCCTTGAAGTAGCGGGTGTGGGCGTACTCGCCGCAGTCCCGGGCCGTGTTCTCCACCAGGTGGCAGAACTGCCGGTGGCGGCTCACGAACAGGATGATGCCCTGGCGGTAGGCCACGTGGGCCGTGAAGTTCAAGGCCAGCTGCAGGTGCGCGGCCGTCTGCTCCAGGTCGATGATGTCCTGGCCCAGGCGGCTCCCGAAGATGTAGGGCTCCATGAACCTGCGGGAGACACCCCAGCCTCCCGCGGTGAGCGGGACCCCCTCCCAGGTGTGACGGCTGGAAACCTGCCCCTCGTCCGTCCCCTGGGGACCCCAACAGCTCCTCCTCCTCCTCGGCTGCCTGGACGTTTAAACCACAGTGTGCCGTGCTCCCTGCTGCTCACGTCGCAGCCAATTCTGTCATCATTGCTTTGTACTGATGTCAGGGAGGGCGGGGGGAGGAGGAGGGAGAGAGATGGGAGCATCAATGAGAGTCAGCGATCGGCTGCCACACTGGGGGTGGAGCCCGCAACCCGGGCATGTGCCCAGGAACTGAACTGTGACCTCCTGGTTCATAGGTCAACGCTCAGCCACCGAGCTGCGCCGGCCGGGCTGTCATCGTTGTTCTTGAGGCTTTATGACGAGGTCCCTCTGGTGGGGCTGGGCGGAGGGGCCCAGCTGCAGTGAGGGGTGGAGACGGGAGCCAGCCAGGCCTGGGGGGGAGCCCCGAGGGCAGAGGGCCAGTGGGCAGGGCAGACGTCACCCCTCAGCTCCATTTCTGCTCACACCCACCTGTCTCTGTCCCTTCCTCTCAGCAGACTCTGCCCAAGGCCCCCCGGCCCGTCTCACCCTCGCCCCCCACACCGTGCAGCAGCTCTCCCTGCCTGCCGGGCCCTGGGTGCTCCTCCCATGACAGTGCCCTGGGAGACCAAGGTGCCACCCTTCATGGTACCCAAGCTCCTGAGGGCCCCAGGCCTCCCTGGGTCTGGTCATCCTGGCATAGGCCACCGACACTGTGCTCTGACCCCGAGCCCAAACCCTGGACCCCGGCGCTGCCCCCCACCTCACATCCACGTGTTCTAAACCTCCTGCCCCGGGAGTCAGCCTGTGGCACCCCTTTGGGTACTGAGTCTGAGGACACGCGGCCTCTCCTGGGGCGCAGGGATGCCATCCGAAGAGGGAGGGTTGCACTCAGGCTGGCCAGTGACCCTGCGCCCGGGGCTGGGGCAGAGGGTGCGGGCTCGCCCACCTGTGCCGGCAGCCGGCCTTGTGCCCCAGGTGCACGCGGGCATCGAAGAGGCTCCGCACGGAGAACAGCTCTTTGACGTTGAAGAAGTCCGGGTGCCGGAGGGGCTCGCTGAGGACGTGGTCCTGGAGGTCTGGGTGGGAGGGGACAGGGTGCTGGGTCCCGCCCGCTGCGCCCACGCCCCGTGGCAGGCGGCTGTGGGTGCCCTCAGGCGGCGGTGCGGCCCGGGTCTCCGGGGTCCTTAGGGCCCCTCCAGGGCCGCAGACCCGCCCCCGAGGGAGCCCAGCCGCCCCGAGGGGGGTCACTAAGGACAGCCCAGGCCCTTCTCCCCCGGGACTCGGACCCTCCGAGCTGCAAAACCAGAACCCCTGGCGCGGCCGAGTCCAGCCCAAACCGGAGCCCCGCGCCCACCCCGCGCCCGGCCGCCCCGCACCTGCCAGGCCGCTGCCGCCCGCGGGCTCGCTCTGGGCGGCGGGCGCGGCGCTCCCCAGCGTCCTGCCGCGCGGCCCGGCGGGCCCCGGGGTCGCCGCCCGGAGTACCTGCAGCCCGAGCGGCCGGGGCCACGCACCTGCGGAGAGAGGGGCGCGGGTTCAAGGCGCGGCCTCCCGGCCCCCCCCCCCCCCGCCCAGTCTCCACGCGGCGGCCGGGCCGGGGGGCCCGGGGGCGAGCAGGGGGCCGGGGCGGGGGTCCAGGTGGAGGAGCCCGCGGGGCGGGACGGGGGCCCCGGACGGGGGCCAGGAGGCCGGGGCCCCGGGCTCACTCACCCGCGCTCAGCAGCCGGGGCAGGGCGGACGCGGGCGCCATGGTGCGGAGGAGGCGAGCGCGGGGCCAGAGCGGCCTCCTCTTCCGCTGCCCGCGCCCGCCGCCTGCAGGCCCGGAGGGGGCACTGCACCCCGCGCCCGCCGCCCCGCCGCCTGCAGGCCGGGAGGGGGCACTGCACCCCGCGCCGCGCTCCCGGGCCGTGCGTGTCCCCCGCGCCCCGCTGTCCCGGGACCCGCCGGCTCCGGGGCGGCTCTGCGCGCGCCCTGCCCGAGCCCCGGGCCCGGGACTGCTGCTCCGGGCCGTGGAGCCGGCCCTCCCCAGAGAGAGTTGACTCACCCCGGGATTTGGGATTTGGGATTTGGGATTTGGGATTTGGGAGGACATGGACCTCCCGCGTTAGCTTTTAAATGCGCTCGGCTTAGGGGCTCCACGTTAGGGGACCTGGAGCCGAAATGCAGGCTCTGGGCGCCGGGGGCGCGACCTCGCGGGGCCCCGGGGCGCCTCGTGCGCGGGGAGCGGGGCCCCTGCGGGCAGAGGGCCTGGCGGGGCCGGAACCCCCGCGGGTGGCAGCCTTCCCGGCCTTTGGGACAAGGTCCCGGGCGCTGCACCCCAGGAAGCGAGGTTTGATTCTCCCGGCCTCGGGGGCCCGGCGTGCTCGCCCCGAAGGCTCTAGACCTCGAACTTCAGCCCCTCTGGTCGGCAGGGGCGCGGCGCCTTTAAGGACCCGACCCACCCAGTCAGGTGACCAAGCCGTCGCTTAGCAACGGGACGCCACGCGATTCTGGTGGCGCGGCCTGCGGAGAGGCTGTGCCTGGCCTTTCTCGTCCCGTGGCTGCGGGATGTCCCGGGAGAACCCCGGAGAGTGCGCGGAGCCCGTGGAGCCCGTGGTGTGCGCGGAGCCCGTGGTGTGCGCCGAGCCCGTGGAGCCTGTGGGGCGCGCGGAGCCCGTGGAGCCCGCGGCCCAGGCCCCGATGGAGAAGACCAGCGACTACTACCGCGTGGACGAGGACCTGCCGGCGAGGTTCAACCACCCGGGGTGCTTCCGGGGCTACAGGTGAGGCCGCAGGTGGGGGCCCCCTTCCCAGCCCGCGGCCCTGCGTCCGCTCAGATAGTCCTGCGGGAGCCCCGGGGCCCAACCCGCCTGGCAAGAGCGAGGTCAGCTCTGCACCAAAGGCTGCCCGGGGCTGCCCAGAGCTGGGGACCCGTGTCAGTGGGCCCAGCTGCAGTGGGGACCGACCCCCACAGGAGTCGGGAAGCCCCGGTCTGAAGCTGGGGGGGGGAGGGAGGGAGCCCCCACTCCTCTCTGGCTGAGCGGAGCCTGGAGAGTGTGACCCGGCCCGCGCCCACCAGCGGAGCGGTGGCTGCGGCTGTTTTGGTGCATTGCAACCGCTACCCCCTTCATCCCTCCATCCCGCTGGGCAGTGATGTTTGTAGAGTTGGTACCAGGGACTGCAGGCCTCTTCTCAGGAGGCTGGGGAGGGGGGAGGGCCTGGAGGCGGAGCCACACACAGCTCCAGGCCTACCAGCACCCAGGAAACAACCACGTGTGCCTTCGATGGGACGTTCTCTCCGGCTTGTCTCTGCGAAGGGCAGGGCAGCGGTGGGCAGAGGGCCCAGGAGGCCGAGCCTGCACGCCCTGGAGCCCACATCTCCAGCTGGGGGCATTTCCCACAAGGCGCCCCCACTGGACCGTGAAGGCGGCTTGGGCAGGGCCGTAACAGAGGGTCTGTCCCCGCAGGAGGACCAAGGAGCCGGCCTCGGTGTACATGACCAGTAACCAGGCCTACGGGAGCCGGGCGCCCACCGTGCACGAGATGCCGGTGAGCGGGGAGGCGGCTGGGGAGGGTGGGAGCGCCCAGAGCTCCGGGCGGCAAAGCAGAGGCCCCGGAGCTGCTGGAGGAGGCGGGAGGGAATGAAGCCGCTCGCCCTGAGACCTGGCGGTGAAATTGCTCAAGAGTACTCGCCCACGGGGCCCGGGGGACCGGCCCCATCACACATGCAGACACACACACGCAGACACACAGACACACACACACACACGCAGACACACACACACACGCAGACAGACACACAGACACGGAGACACACGCAGACACACACACAGACATACACACACACAGACACACATGCAGACATGCGCACACACTCACGCAGACACACAGACACGGAGACACACGCAGACACACACACAGACACACACACACAGACACACACACACGCAGACACACACACGCAGACATACACACAGACACGGAGACACACACACAGACCCGCAGACACAGACACACAGACACACACACGCAGACATACACACACAGACACACATGCAGACATACGCACACACTCACGCACACACGCAGACACAAGTGCACATGCACACACTCCTGTGCATGGAGGCTGTCTGTTCTGAGGCAAACAAGAAAAGGTCCAATAGCTGGCCTGGCGGCACAGACTGTAAACCAGGAACTGGGGGTGGCGTGGGGCGGGACCCCCGAGTCAGGGCTGGTAGCCACACGCAGGCGCGGAGCTGACCCCGGTGTGACGGTGGGAGGCGGCACACTGGTCCTTGTCCTCACTGGCCTCGCTGCTTCCTAAGAACAAAGATTCTTTTACTCCCAAAATGCCCGATGGCGAGCCGGTAAGAGTGCCCCGGGCACCGCTGTGTCCCCTTTGCGCTTCCAGAAAGTGTTCCACGCATGTTCGAATAGCTTCTCCAGACAGCTGGCAGCTGCTGGAATGTTCCGGAACACTTCCTTGAACGTCCACGTGGAGAAGAGCAACGTGATGGGCGCCGACAACTGGATCACCTCCTTCGACCGGCTGAACTTCCACCCCAGCTACAACGTGCACCGGCCCTCCATCTGCAACGACTGAGGGTGTCCCCCCCCCCCCCCCCCCGCCCCCGGCTGCCCAGCGGGACGGTGCCGAGCGCTGCTGTCCCTCAGGCGCCTCTCCTGTGTGACGGCCACTTCCCGTCTACCGCTGAGCCGGGAGGGCGGCTGCCTTGTCTCTGCATTAAAACGTTGCCCCATCCCGAGTGCCTGGCTCACCTGGGGTCGCGGGCGGGTGTCGGGGGGGGGGGGGGCGTCGCCCTGACCGTCCCCCGTTTCTGTTGGGGGCCTTGTTCCTGCTCTCGGTGCTCCGCGGGGAGGGTCCCCCCGGGCGGGGCCAGGGAGGTGCGGCAGAATCCTCTGGAAAGCGCCAGGCAGGAGGGCTGTAAGGGTCCCTGAGCCACAGACAGACTCGGGTTCCCGCCAACACCCCGGCCACAGGGAAGCCGGGCGGGCGGCCGATGACGGGCGCGGTGGGCGTGTGCTCGTGGCTGGCAGGCAGGTGCCCACAGGCGAGTTCTTGTCTTCGTGTTCATTTAAACTTTTCAATAAAAAGTGAAAAAACCCCAAACCAAGCGGGCAGGGAATAGGTTTCCTCCGGAGGGAGTGGCGCAGCGGCAGGTTTATCTGGGTGGCCGGTCCTCGGCCAGGGTCCCGGCAGCTGGGGTCCTCAGTGAGAAAACAGCCTCATGGCGGCCCCACGGACCCCGCCTGCAGGGGGAACCCTGCCTTTAGGAGATGCGCTCCTCATAGGGGAAACCAGACAAGCAGCTGCAGCGCCTCTCCGGGGACTTTCCCCCAGAGAGAGTTGACTCGCCCCGGGATTTGGGATTTGGGAGGACATGGACCTCAGTTTATAAACCTTGGTGATCGGCACCTGAAGTGAGCATCTTGGCAGTCCCTGCGTGTCCAGTTCGGGACAACGTGGTGTCCAAAGAAAGCCAGGACACTTAATCAGAAGGGGCAGCCTGAGCCTGGCCGCCTGGCTCAGTGGTGGGAGCGTCGGCCACGCAGCGAGGGTCACAGGTTCAATTCCCGATCAGATCCGAGGGGCCGTCCCTGGGCTGCAGCCTCGATCCCAAGGGGCCATGTGAGAGTGGCAGATTGACCTGCCTCTCACATTGGTCTCTCCCTCTTGCCCCCTCCCTTCCACTCTCTGAAAATCAACGGGAAAAACAGAAATATCTCCGGATGAGGATTAACAAAGAAGAGAAAAAGGAATAAAAAGACACAGAGCTCCCGCAGCCGGGACCCTCGCGGGCCGAGCCGGGACACCCCCGGCCCCAGGCATCCCACTCGCTCAGCGCAGACACTGAAGTACGGGGACGTGGTCCGAGTTTGGTCTCCCGAGGAAATGGACAGAGAAGGCTGCACCGAGTCTGAACGCAGTGGAGGGTGGGCCTGGGGAGGGTGTCAGACCGGCACAGACGGCCTCTCCTTGTGCCCTGGAAGCAGCCGCCAGGACCCCTGTGACGAGGCGGCTGCCTGGCCAGGCACCGGGGAGACCCCCACCCGGACAGAATCCCCGTTCTCAGCACGGCTCTGGGCTCCCGCTGACGAGATACAGGGGCCCCAAACAATACACTTCGAGGAGTCAACGTGGGCAGTGCCTGGGCACCGTGGTCAAGCAGAGGTTTCTTTCTCTTTTTTAAAAATAGGTTTTTAACTTTTTTAGAGAGGGAGATGGGGAGAGAGAGAAACCAACCGGTTGCCTCCTGCATGCCTCCTCCTGGAACTGAGCCCCCCACCTGGGCGTGCGCCCTGACCGGGAATCGAACCGGTGACCTCTTGGTGCACGGATGACGCTCCACCAGCTGAGCCACACCAGGCTGGGTGGCGAAGGCTCCTCAGGAAAAGCCCGAGGAGTTCACGGCACTGAAAGGGAGCTGTCAGCCCTGGCTGGTGTTCTCCGGGGTGGGAGGTCAGCCCCCGGCCCAGGGTTTCCGGTTCGATTCCTGGCCGGGGGCACATACGGCCTGGGTGGCGTTTGCGCCCGCCCCGGTCAGGGTGAGTGCGGGAGGCGACCAGCCAATGTGTCTCTCAGATCAATGTGCTTTTCTCTCTCCCTGCCGCCCTCCCTCGGATAAGCAACAGAAAAAGAGCCTCCGGTGAGGATTGACAACAAAATAAGGGAGCTGTATTTTCCTAAAAAAAAGGGTGCCAAGCTCACCAACGGCATCGCCCAGTGAATGCGGGCACGGCGGGCACACGGGCACAGCTCCGGCTGTTCGTGGCCAGTAACTGCCGTTTCTCACAGCTGCTTCTGAGCGGCACGGCCTGGACTCTGACTGCGCTCAGTGGGAGGCGTGTCAGGAAGGAGGAAAACACACACCTTTGTGCACCCGCTTCTCAGCTCTGGCTCCGGTCCTCGGGCTCTGCCCGCCAGCTTCCTCGTCTCCTTCCCTCCCCTCCCCCCCTCCCCGCGGAGAGCGAGCCCCGGGGGAGGTTTGGGGCATCTGCTCATCACTCCGTTCAGCTGCCGTTTGCTTAAAGCCAGGAACTCCTTACGCTCAGAGCTGCTTTCACCTGTGCTGTTTTCCTTCAGCGACCTTTTCCTTTTCGTTCTAGTCAATCAGAGTAAGAGGTTTCAGATCTACTGACAGCTCAACGCTGGCAGCAGCACCGGCAAGGCCAGCCACCGAACGCCAGGCCCGCGAGTCCCTGGGCAGCCTGCCTGAGCCGCCGCGGGCTGCAGGCGGGAGGCAGGGGTTTGCCCGCTTCACCCTCTAGCGGCCCCTAAACCCGGGGGGATGGGATCAAGGTGATGATACTTAGTTGTCGTTTTTTGTAAATGTTTCTTTTAAAAATTTGACTTCAGAGAGAAGTGAAACATGGATGACCAGAGAATCATCCATCGGCTGCTTCTTGCACGCCCCCCACGGGGGATGGAGCCCACAACCATGGCACGTGCCCTGATGGGGAATCGAACCCGGACCTCCTGGGCACTTGAGACCTCATCATGCTCTGCACACGGACGCTGAGCGCACGGCTGCCTGCTCTGGGCAGAGCCCGGCTGGGAGCGGGCAGGGCTCCGGCACAGAGCGGCTTATGGGCTCTGCCTGCGCTCGCGGGACGGGAGACGGCAAGGCCGGGCGCCGGGCCCTGCCGCGTTGGCGCTTTGCCACGCGCTGGTGGGAGGCAGTGGCCACAGAGCTCAGAGGATGTGCTCAGCCGCCCGGCCCAGAGGCCCCTCTGACCTCATCCAGGAACCCCCTGACGGAGCTCTCAGGGCTGGGGGGGGTGGCGTGCTGGGGAAGCCACGGAACCCCCGCCAGGGACGCCCTACAAAACCCAACAGCTCTGGTTTCCAAAAATAGTTTTTACAGCACTTTAAATAACTTACCAAAAACAGCTACAAAGATCATATTTACCAGGACACACGTGTTAAATAAGGGCATCGCCTCCCGTTAGTGTACATATGTGCAGGGCGGTCACGGACCTGTCCCCCTGCCTGAGGGCCCGGACACACGGGTGCTCACCGCGGGAGGACCTTGCCCGTGGCCACGGGGCTGCCGTCCTCCACGGAGGTGTCGCTCAGCTCGCTGGTGTCGCTGCCCCAGGCCTCCCGGTCCTCGTCCCGGCCCGCCGGCCGCCGGCCCCTCAGGTCCAGCACGTCCTCGTCGGAGCCCGAGTTCCTGCCGCCGCCGAGCGCCCCCCGCCGGGGCCAGGCCCGGGCCTCCTTCCCCAGCAGGCGGGGGCGCCCGAAGCGGCGGGAGGCGGGGGCCTCCCGGAAGGCGGAGAAGGCGGGGCCCTGCAGCCGCAGGCCCAGGCCCGGGCTGAAGAGGCCGGCGGCCGGCGCCCCCCAGGCGGCGCCGCCCCCGAAGTGGAACAGCTGCGCGGGCAGCAGCGGCGAGAAGCCGGCGAAGGGCAGGCCCTTCCGGGGGCCGGGGGCGAGGCCGGCGGCGCCCCGGGCCTGGCCCTCCGGCCCCCTCTCCCTCTCGCCGCCCAGGGCCCCCTTCCACGCCGGGCCGCTGCCTCCCGAGCTCAGCGCCCACGGGCTCTGCAGGGCACTCTGCTGGGCCACAGAGTCGCCCCACGGGAGGGCGAGGCCGGCCTGGGGCGCCCCCTGCCTGTCGGCGCCCGGGCTCCACGCCGGTGCGCTCCGGCTCTGAGCGGGCGCGGGCAAGGCCCCCCCGGGACTCCGCGCCCGGGCCTGGGCCTCCGCCTCGGCCGCGCAGGACGCCCCCCGCGGGCTCTGGTCCCGGTGAGGGGGAAGGCTCCTCCTGCCCGCGGGGGCCCCTCTGGCCGACAGGGTCCCACCGCTGCCCCGGGGAGCCGCTGGCTGGCTTCTGGGCGGAGCGGCCGTGGGCTGAGGGGTCCCCCTGCCCCTCTGGCTCCGGGTGCACATGCCCGGCTGCGGGGCCGGGGCGCCCTTCCGGCACAGCGGCTCTGGCCTGGGCCCGCTGCCCGGAGCCCCTCCCGGAGCTTCTGAGCCGCTCTCCGTCTCCTTGGCCTTCTCGGCCAGAAACTTCCGGATCTCCAGCTCTATGCTGTCGTCGCTGTCCACGGAGCTGCTGTCGTCCGGCCGGAGGCCGGGGCGGGGGGCCGGACTCGGCCCCGCGCCGCCCGGCCCCGCCCGCTCCGTGGGGCAGCAGAGGCGGCAGGGAGGCCTCCCGGGCGGGCCGGCCCAGCCGTTCCTTCTGGACCCGGAGAGGCAGCTCTTCAGCACGGCCGGGCCGGCCTGGCCGCCCCGCGGACCCAGCGCCTCGGTGCCGCCAAACCTGACCCTCTTCCGGCCGCCGGCCCGGGGCTCCCTCCAGCGCCTCCGGAGCCTCCGCTTGGACCGCAGCAGGTCCTTGATGGCCGAGTCCAGGTCCTCGTCGCTGTCCAGCGAGCTGCTCTTGTCCTCCGAGCTCCCCCTCCCATCCACAGCCCAGGCCTCGGCCACCTTCCCGGGGCCCGGCGGCACCCCGCCCCTGGTGTCTGCGGCCCCGTGCTCATCCCCCGGCCCGGCCGTCCTGCAGGGGGGGCCCTGCCCCCTGGCCTCGCCGTCCCTCCCGGGGGCCTCGCCGGGGCCGGGGCCAGTGTCCGGGGCGCCCTCCTTCACCGCCTCTCTCGTTCTCTTGGGGATCGAGGACCGGACGGCGCCAACCACTGCCCTGCGCTTCCTCCTGCAGCTGGGCGGAGGCTCCGGTGCTTTAGAGGCGGGCGCCGTGAGGTCGCCCGCCTGCCGTGGGGGGCCCGGCGGTGGCGGCAGGGGGCTGTGTGTGGACGGCGGGCAGGTGTCCGCCCTGGCTGGCAGAGTCCCCGACTGTGCCTTCAGCGCCAGGAAGTTCCGGATCTCCTGCTCGATGCTGTCGTCGCTGTCCACAGAGCTGCTGTCGCAGTCCGCGAGGGAAGGCACACTGGGGGGGCCCGGGGGCGGGCGGGCGGGCGGCGGCCTCGCTCCGCCCTCCCCGGGGGCCGGCAGGATGGCTTTGGAGATGTCCAGGATGGCCTCGGCGCACATCAGCTCGGCAGAGGTGTCTGCCAGCCGGCTCCTGGCCGCCGCGCTGCAGGGGGCGGCCGGGGCTCCGGGCTCCTTTGGCGGCTGGGCAGGGGGTTCGGGGGCGAGGGGGCCCAGGTCTGCAGCCTTGGAGGCCGCTGGCTTCCTCCTGCCTGGCGCTCTCCTGGGGGCGTCGGGTGAGGCACTTTGGGCGGCGTGGCCGGCGCCCGGGGCAGGAGGGCCGGGCGGCTGCTCCCCCGGCGGGGCCTTCGGGGGCAGGTCCCCGCTCGCCGCCTCCCTCCTCTCCCGCTGGTACCGCTGGATGGCCTCCTCGATGCCGTCGTCGCTGCTGGAGTCGGCCGCAGTGCGGTCGGGGTCCGGGCCGGTGCTCCGGACGCCCGGTCCCCTCCGCCCGGGGCCCAGGCCCCTCCGGGCCCGGCCCTTCCCCGGGGCGTCCGCGGTGCGGCCGGCGGCGGCCGGCCTGGGGGGTGCCGGCTTCGGGCCGCCTACGCTCTCCGGCTCAGCGGCGGCCTTGGACCTCAGGCTCCGGGGAGGCGTCGCTACCGTGGCCGGCCGGGGAGGGTTTGGGAAAACAAGCTCCTTACCAGCGCCCACTGCGTCCTGCCGGGGCGCCCTGCCCGCTGGCTCCTTGCTGGGCCTGAGAGCGGGTGTGGCCAGGTGGTCACCGGGGCCCGGCTTCCTGTCCGCCGGCCGGCCGCCGGGTGGGGCCTCCAGCTGCCTCTTCTCGCTCAGGAACCGCTCGATCTCCGCCCGGATGCCCTGTTCGAAGGAGTCCTCGCTGCTGACGCTGCCCGGGGACGCGGGGCCCGGGGCCTGGCCGGCTCCCACGCGGCCGCCGGGGGTGCCTCCTGAGCCAGGGGCCCGCTTCGGGGGGCTCAGGGCGGCCGGGGCGCTGTTCAGGGGAGGCTCCGGGCGGCACGGAGGGTCCCGGCCGGCGGCTGCGGGCGGGACAGCCCCGCTCTTGGCCTTGAGGTACTCCTGGATGGCCTCCTCGATGCCCCGGTCCACGGAGTCGTCGCTGTCCGAGTCCCGCCCCGCAGGGCCGGGGGCCGAGGCCGCCTCCTTGCCCTTGGGGTCCGAACGAGCAGCGAGCCCGCAGGCGGGGGCGGCCGGCTGGGCGGGGCGGCCCCTGAGGCCTCCTCGGTGCAGGCCGCGCTCCTGGCTCCGGCCCCGAGCCGCCCGATCGCCCCGCAGCGAGCTGATGATCATCTGCACCCGGGCGCTCACCGCCGCGCCCGCCGCGCCCTCCGGCGGCTCTGGGAGGCGGCCGGGAAACCTGCAGCTCCCGGGCGGCCCGCAGGCCTCCCACGCGGCCTGGAGGGGGAGCACCGGAGGCGCGTTCATGAGGAACATCCTAGCCACCGACTGGGGCGTGCACCAGGGCCAGTCTGTCCGCCGCTCACTTCACATCCTGCGGGGAAGAGAGACGCGGTGAGACGGTGCCGGTGGCCGCCGGTCAGCAGTCAGCTCGGCCCCGGGCTGTGCAGGGGGGCTGAGGGGAGGGCTCAGGAGGAAAATGCGCCTTTGCCAGCCGCCCTGCCCAGAAGGCCCACGTGAACGCACACGTGTCTGCCCTTCCCTGTCCCCGCGCCCACGGCGCCTGCACCTCCTCCTGGACCTCCGGGGGCTGCCCAGGGCCCAGGCGGCGAGGCCGCTCACCCTTCTCCGCAGGTTCCGGGACAGGAGGACTCGGACCCTAGGGGATGAGCGGGCGGACCCCCGGGGGCCGGTTCATTCTTGACGGGAGCCGAGAGCCCCTGAGGGAGAACATGACAACAGGTGAGCAACTCAGCAATCACTGCCCCAAACGTCTTTTCCGAGTCACCTTTTACCTAAAAACCAGTGGCCTGGTGCACAAATTCGTGCACATTGAAAGAAAAGGAGTTAGAAGAAATATTTTAATATCACTGTTCGCCCTTTCTCTGTAATAGAAGTGTCAGCCAAATTCATGATGGATAATGACAGATCGAAACACACGTGTGGGACTGGAGCCAGCAAGAGCTTTATAAGTATCGTGCCTGCACAAGTCAACTTAGCCTTCTATAGCTATTGAGTAAACTTGCTTAATTAGAGCTGCTTTCTGATGCAGCTAAACTTTTCCAGCCCAGTGAAGCACCCAACTTCTCTTCCAGGTAATTGTCAGCAACACAGCAGTAAATACCAACACAAAGCAGATTATTATTGTAGATCACGCAGGGAGAACAAAGGGTGAAATATTTAACTGCAGCCGTGTTTGACTATATTCTGTGCAGTGAGAAAACCTGAAGTCATTGTCAAGGTCCACCATTTTTTTACTTCTTTTCAGTCGGGTCAAATTTCTAAGCTTTCTATATCTCTGTTTTCTGGCTAATGAAAAGAAAATAGGATTCCACCGAGTCTCCTATCTCCCTACTCCAGGACTAATGTGAGGGTCAATGAGATGAGGCACGTGAAAACACTTCACAGACATTTGTTTAAAGTGTAAAATGTTTCCACCTGGCTGTAAAGCAGGTCATGTTTCTGGGCTGGAAACTTCAAGGAGGCTGGTTCCTAGGGAGAGGAAGCCGGTGGTATTTTGCACCATGGGGTCTCGGCAGCATTGGCTGCATTTGGTGGGTTGACACTCTGGGTGGTGGCAGGGCCTGTGTACCATTTGGGGGAAACCAAGTGTTGCTTTGTGGGTGCCAGGTCCGTGTTGCTGTTTCTCTGTAAATGGCCAGTGTGCGTTATGGGGGCAGCTCCTGCATTGAGTGTCTGCCCCCGGTGGTCTGTGCATCATAGTGACCAGTCAGATGGTTGGACTCTTAGCATATTAGCCTTTTATATATATAGATGTCAAATGTAGCCCAGCTGCCTTGGCTCAGTGGTTGAGCGTTGACCTATGAACCAGGAGGTCAGGGGTCAATTCCTGGTCAGGGCACAGGCCTGAGTTGTGGGCTTGATCCCCAGTGTGGGGCGTGCAGGAGGCAGCCAATCAATGATTCTCTCTCATCATTGGTGTTTCTCTCTCTCCCTCTCTGAAATTAAAAAAATACATACATTACACACACACACAAACCAGGAACTATGGTGTCAAGGGATTCTTGCCCTTACTTGAAGCTCTCATCAAGTCCAGGTTCAGAGTTTGGATAAAGCGGCCAACGTTGGTGTGTCTCAGGCCTGACGTCTCTGTCGCCCCACCTGCCCGCGTGGGTCCTTTCCCACGTGTGAGAGACTTCGGGCTGCCAGGACAGAGGCAGACAGAGCTCACAGGCTGATCACAAATGTGTATCGTTATGGGAAGAAGCAGCATCCAATTAAGGGTTCAAATTAACTTTTGAAAGCATTTGCCCTGAGGCCAAATAGAGTTCATCAACACGTTTACCACCCCCGGGCACAGCGGGGCACCGGGTAGTGGTGGAAGCAGGTGGCCCAGCCCCAGCCCTGGCACCGCACCCTTGGCCTCAGGTCCCAGCCGCAGAGCCATGGCTGGAGGGGCCGGGCGTGAGGAGCCGCCATGGAGAGCTAACGCTCAGCACTCCGTCAGAGCGGTGTCCACACCGGAGGCGGAGTGGGAGCACCAGGGCCGGGGCTGACCAAGGGGAAGGCGCAGACGGCCTCGGCTGCGGTACCGCCTGGGCCAGATCCAGGCTAAACATCCCGGGCGTGTCCGGCAACGGCCTGTGCCTTCAAAGCAACTGCCCGAGGGAACCTGTCAGGACAACGGCCTAGACCACACTGCCCCTGCACCCCGAGCCCAGGCCAGGCCAGAGCTGGACCCCAAAGCCTTACGCTGCCGGAACTGAAAAGTGGTGACAGATCCAGGGCATCCTCTCAGGCTGGACACCCTCCTCCAGGCAAAGAACACAGCCTGGCTCCCTGCACCTAGTGCCCCCATTCATCCCCCAATGCCCATCCATCCATCCCCCAATGCCCATCCATCCATCCCCCAATGCCCATCCATCCATCCCCCAATGCCCATCCATCCATCCATCCATCCATCCCCCAATGCCCATCCATCCATCCATCTATCCATCCATCCCCCAATGCCCCATCCATCCATCCATCCATGCCCCAATGCCCCATCCATCACCCACAGTGGTCCAGCCCCTGGTGCCTAGGGGCGGGTGTCCCCGGGGATTATGGAGCGAAGGGCCAACCGGAGGTGGGAGGTGGGGGTGGGGGGTGGAACTGGGCCGGACAGCAGGCCAGACCTCACAATCCCAAAGCTCAGCTGGTCCCCTAGCAAAGCTGCAGGCCAAGCGGTGCCTGGGGCCCGAGGCGGGTGAGGCCCTCTCACCCCTGCCTTCCTGGGGGCGCTGAGGCCGCACCCTCTGCCGGGCCCCACCAGGTCCTGAGCCACGTGGGTGAGCTCCGCAGGGAGGGCACCGGCCCGGGCTGCCCCTGGGTCTGGGCGGCGGGGCGCCGGGGACCCACCGGAAGCTGCGCCGACGCCGCTGCCTCCCGGGCCGGGGCGGAGGCGCCGGACGCTGCCCCGGGCCTCACCTGCGCCCCACCTGGCGCACCCCCTCACCCCACCCACCCCGGCTTCCAGGACGCAGGACGCGGGCCCCGGGCCCGGGACGCGGGGCGGGGCCTGGGCTGCCGGGGCCGCGACTCCCGCCGGGCGGACCCAGCCCGGCGCCCGCGATCGCGCCTCCGCCCCGCGCCCTCCGGGCCCGCCGCTCCGGCCGCAGCCCGCCCGCCGCCGCCGCCCCGCCGCCCCCGCCCGGCCCGGCCCGGCCCGGCCCGGCGGCCCGGGAGGTGCGGGGCGGCGGGGCTGCGGGGCTGCGGGCGCGCGGAGGGGCCGGGCTCCGCTCCCGGCGCCGCTCCCCCCCCCCCCCCCCCCGCGTCCGGGGCGCGGAGGGCGGGGCGCGCGGGGCGGGGCGACCCCGGGGCCCCTCCCGGACCTACCGGCGGCGGCGGCGGCGGCGGCCGCTCCGGAAGCCGTGCCCGCGGCTGGGCATCATGGGAATGGCACGGCGAGTTCCGGGGAGGCGCCGGCCCGGCCGGACCCCCGCCCGCGAGCGCGCCCACCTGCCGGCGCCGCGGGCCGGCCGCCCCCTCCCGCCCGGCGCGTCCTGGAGCCGCGAGAATGGATTGTCGGGGTGACCCCCACCCTGCGGAGGCGGGGACCCGGGCTGCGGACCGCCCTGTCCTGTCCTGGCCACTCGGTGCTGCAGCCGGGAAGGCCCGCCCTGCACCCCGAGGTGGCTGCAGGCTGGGGGTGGCTGCAGGCTGGGGGTGGCTGCAGGCTGGGGGTGGCTGCAGGCTGCGGGTGGCTGCAGGCTGGGGTGGCTGCAGGCTGGGGGTGGCTGCAGGCTGGGGTGGCTGCAGGCTGGGGGTGGCTGCAGGCTGGGGTGGCTGCAGGCTGGGGGTGGCTGCAGGCTGGGGGTGGCTGCAGGCTGGGGGTGGCTGCAGGCTGGGGTGGCTGCAGGCTGGGGTGGCTGCAGGCTGGGGGTGGCTGCAGGCTGGGGTGGCTGCAGGCTGGGGGTGGCTGCAGGCTGGGGGTGGCTGCAGGCTGGGGTGGCTGCAGGCTGGGGGTGGCTGCAGGCTGGGGTGGCTGCAGGCTGGGAGGCGAGACTCGGGCGGCTACTTGGTTCTGGGGTCCAGACCCGGGCTAATGAAATATGGTAGCACTCATACTTGGGTAAAAACTGCTGTTTGAATTTTAACCTTGCTATCTGACTTCGACCTTCGATTGCTTGCTTAAACAATAGGGTAGTTACAGGAGATTGACTCCCACTGACTCAGTAGCTTCAGGGGTAGAAACTGTAGATAACCTTTAGTTCTGCTTTTGTATTATGGGCAGATAGGGCCACATTCCAATGTCAAGCAGGGTGTGACTGGGACCTACCCTGCAGGCTGTTCCCAGTCTTTAGAATTTAGTCCTGAGGGGCCAATCAGGGTTAGCCGAGGCAGTGACATCACCGACCTGAATAAAACTCCTGGACTGGGCGAAATTCGCTCTCTCCCGCCATGCTGCCGGCGTGAGTGGGACAGCCCATGCTAGCATGGAGATGGCTCTTTTGTTTATTGCATCGGACTCGGCTCCCTGGTGGTCCTTGGGGATCATGACTGGAATCCCCAGCCAGGACCATGAGGGACCCCGATCCGAGAGCCTGACTGGCCGCGGTAGGTGTGTGTTTGTCTGTGTTTTTGTGTGAGCGCTCTGGAGGTACTGCCCCTCCATCGGGGCTCTCACCTGGGTGTTTACCGGCTGCTGCGTCAGCCATGGTTTGAGTCCAGATTCGAATCTGTAATAAATTCTAGCATGCTTAATCAAATTGGCTCTGGTGGTCCATCTCTTGGGGACTCGCTCCGTAACAGCTATGAGCGGCCATGTCCCCAGGAACCCCTGCAAGTCCGGGGTCCCCGTGTGCCGCCCGAGCTGCCCCTCGGGTGAGCTCCGCGGCGGAGCAGGTAGATCCTGTCCCCCCCAAATATCCCCCCTCCCTCTGCCCAGCCCCCAGGTGCCCCCCAGTCTCTCTGCCAGGCCTCCCGTCCCTCTGCCCGGCCCCAGGTGCCCCCAGTCCCTCTGCCCGGCCCCAGGTGCCCCCCGTCCCTCTGCCCGGCCCCAGGTGCCCCCAGTCCCTCTGCCCGGCCCCAGGTGCCCCCCGTCCCTCTGCCCGGCCCCAGGTGCCCCCCGTCCCTCTGCCTGGCCCCAGGTGCCCCCAGTCCCTCTGCCCGGCCCCAGGTGCCCCCCGTCCCTCTGCCCGGCCCCAGGTGCCCCTAGTCCCTCTGCCCGGCCCCAGGTGCCCCTAGTCCCTCTGCCCGGCCCCAGGTGCCCCCCGTCCCTCTGCCTGGCCCCAGGTGCCCCCCGTCCCTCTGCCCGGCCCCAGGTGCCCCCCGTCCCTCTGCCTGGCCCCAGGTGCCCCCCGTCCCTCTGCCCGGCCCCAGGTGCCCAGCTGCGCGCTGCAGGGCCAGCTTCACCCAGGCAGCTGCCCTGGCCTCCAGCCGCCGTGGCCTCGGGGTCATGGCCCAGGAGCCAGGCCGGCAGGGTTCCAGCCCATGTTTCATAGAAGCCTCCCTCGGTCACTCAGGAACTGGCCATGGGGCCCAGCCGGTGTGGCTCAGTGGTCGAGATTGGGGCTAGAATCAGGAGGTCACATGTGGCGGAGGCCGGCTCCACGTCCATCCCTAGTGGGGGCTGTGCAGATCAAAGAATCTTATCATTGGTGTTTCTATCTCCCCTCCCTCTCCGAAATCAATAGAGAATGAATGGGAGGAAGGAAGGAAGGAAGGGAAGAGGGAGGGAGGGAGGACTGGCCACAGGGCCCCTGAGCGTGTAGGGGCGCTGGAGGAGGGGGTGGGGAACTGGTGACTGACACCCACCCCTCCTGTCCTGCTCACCTGGCCTGAGGGGGATGGGGAGGGGACACGAGGGTTCTGTCGCGGAATGGAGGCTTGGACCCTTTCCCAGTTTTACTTCTTTTTAAAAATATATATATTTTATTGATTTCAGGAGGAAGGGAGAGGGAGAGATAGAAACATCAATGATGAGAGAGAATCATTGATCGGCTGCCTCTTGCACGCCCCCCACTGGGGATCAGGCCCACAAACCAGGCCTGTGCCCCTGGCCGGAATCAAACCTGGGACCTTTCAGTCCGCAGGCTGATGCTCTATTCAAAGATCAGACCAGCTGGGGCTCCCGCTTTTACTTCTCAAACAACCCAGAGATCTCCGCTCAGCTGCATCCCGTCTGTCTGTCCCTGCGGCTGCGTCTGCGGCAGAGGCTGTGGGGGCAATCCAGGCGTCTGTTTCGTGTCTGGAAAACGCCCGCGTTCGGTGAAATAAAAAGCAGCGGCTTTTCCCTGGGCCCTGGGAGGGGTCCGTCTCGTCTCCGGCTCGGGAACCCATGGAAACGTGGTTTTAATAAACAATGTTTTCTCATTACAAGAGTCACGTTCTATTCCCCGTCGGGGCCTGTGCTAAGGTTTGGGGCTTGGCCCCCAGGAGGGGGCGAGTAGGAGGCAGCCGATGGATGTTCCCGTCGGTGTTTCTCTTTCCCCACCTCTTCCTCTCTGTAAACGTCAATTAAAAAATACAGAAAAGAACTAGGCAAAAACAAAAAAATAAGAATAAAAACAAACAAAAAGTGAGTAAAATTCCTTTCCCAGGGTTTGGGAGGTCTCTGAGGAATTGCTAACAGCCCGGAAACACAGACGGTAAATCTTTGGCGTGTGCTTTCCGGGTTGGCGGTGCTGGTGACCTTGGATAACGGGTCACCTGAGTGTGCCCTCAGGGTAGGTGCTTAGAAAAAGCCTGGGCCTAACACCGGGAAGCATTTTGCCAATCCCAGCCCCTCCGGCCACAGAGGGTGAGTGGCCTGAACTGGCGGGCCCTTCCTTTCCCTGCGCTCTCTTCTATTTCCGTTTGTTACTCCTCGCCTGAGGACACCTCTTCCCAGTGATTTTTAGGGAGAGGGGAGGGGAGGGAAGG